AACATTGCGCAAATGCAATCAAACATTTGGTAAAATGTTGCATGATGGCTGGTTAAATACCTCAAGTACAAAAGATTTGACAGGAAACTCATTAAATGTAGGTGAAGAACCAAAGTGCCACAGTGTTTTCTCATTGATAGAAAAACCATTTTATAACGTCAAAATGATATTATTTAGTGAGGGAACATAATTAGTTAGGACTAATATTACTACTCCAGTTCCAGAATTTTCTATCCTCTCTTGAAAGACACAATTGCTTTTGTGAGCATAGCATCCCAAGAAATTGTCATGAAATGCAACGTTTGCGAGAGATTCAAACCTACTGGTTCACAGCCCAACCCACCAAATCCTGCGACAAGAATCAGACTTGGCAACTGTATGGTCAGTCTGATAAACCTATCGATGTTATATTATGCTTAAACATGATCATTTCATTATCAACCATTAATGGCGTTGATGTAATCCTGACCAATATCCGCTACGAGGGTAAGTGCATTAGATTCTAAACTAGACCCATGTGTTAAAAGTAAGAGCGGCAGCGGGAGGGTTAGTGAGCAATTTAACAGTACTTTATGGGCAAAATGAGTGAACCCATACATTATTTTGAAAAGAGAATGGAAGTAAAAGGATTGTTAATCTTTAATAACGGCAGGGACACCGCGACATTTAGCCAAAGAAGTGTCCCCAAACTGCCTCACGTAAATGTACATCTTCAAAGCTTCTCAAAAAGCATCAATATTTTTACAAAAAAAAGTTCCAGCTTTGTCCTTCTTCCATTCGAAAAAATACCCGGGTCACTCATTTTCCCACCAATAAACCTTTAACTTCCTCACTTACCCTCCCGCTGCTGCTCGCTCGCTCGCCCAACGCTAAAGAGATACAATCGTCTCGCTATAAGGAGTAACCTGGCGGAGCAATAGCTGTACTCAAAAATTCTTATTAAAGTGTCTAAACGTAACTGTCTTGTAACAGGAATCATCCAGTGCTCAACGATAAAGTTTGGTCCATTATTTAGTATTTAGTTTTCAGCAGTGCGATGGTTAGACTAGAAGTTAGTCCATCACGATGGTAGGGACTATTTTCTTAACGCGCAATGTTCAAGTTACTTCTTATAGCTTCCTCCTCCACCGCCGACCGGCCGAGCTCGTGCCGAGTGCCGAGGCGGCAGAGCGGCCGGCCACACCAACCTCAACAGCTCAACGCTCGCTCAGCCGTCAGCCCAGCCATTCGTCTTGTCTCGTCAGTCTGAGAATCGCATCGCATCGCGCCGACTCCTTGGTTGCCCTCTGAACCTCCGCGACACCTTCGCGACGCGCCTCATGTTCCCCCCGACCAACCCCGTCAGCCCCGGGCTGCTCGTCTGTCTGGGTCTGGCCCGCGTTCCTCCGCGTCCTCCGCGGCCCCGCTGCTTGCTCACCCGCCGCGTGCCGCGTGGGGTTGGTTGGAGCCGCCGCGCCGCCGTCTCGTCAGCCGCGTTGGATTTTGTTGACCCAGTCGTGTCCCTCCTCCCATCCCCCGCCCGATTCATCGAAATTTAAGTTCAGTTTCAAGTGAAAAATGGCCAAGTAAGTTAAGTTAAAATAATGCGAGGCGTGCATATTGGCCTTGAATCGTAGTGCAGTGTAGTGAAGTGAAGCTCAAGCTCTCTGCGTGGCTGTGGCGCTGGACCATCGGTGCTCCGTGACTGTGTGGCTGGCTGGCGATCGACTCACGGTAGGTCTCATCGGTCTCATCAGTGAATTAGAGTCGAATAGGGCCAGATGGCAGCTCATCGTCAAGTCCCCAAAATTGTGAATGGCACTAAACGTTCTTCTAAACGCTGATTACGAAACACAACTCAGCTACCCAACACACAGAACGAAATGACCGGCAACAGTCGTATGAGACAAGCGTAGCGTACCCAGG